CCAATATTTTGCAACATGAATGTATACCAAGAAAAACATTGTGAAATAAACTTCCCATAACGACAGTTTGAAAATTTAAGTTCTTGATTTCTTTAGCACTACCTATTATCTAAATATTTTAAGAAACTAGCAGTGATGATCCATTTTTCGAACACAACGTCGACAAATGCGGCAGTGATGGGCTCGTGGTGGTCTATAAGATTCGCAACGAGTGCAAAGTGTCCACCCTTTCCCCTTAAATTCTACCCGAAGTAAAGCAAATTTTCTAAACAAGGTTTGTCATAATTTCATATGCATTTTACTCTTTCTTTTCTGTTTGAAATAAGAACAGTGAATGTTTAAAATTTCGATAATAAGTTGGCACTTGAGGACTTTTTTATTTTCAGATTTAGTTTAAATAAATATTTAGTTTTGGTCTATAAGATTTGTATCTAAGTTGTTTTTATCTATTTTAAAGTCTGTTGATCAAGTCTGTTAAAAAAGTTAATTTCATTATTAACTTGCCACAAACTTATTTTCTTCTATTAATTCCCCATCCGTATCTGTACTATTCGATTCAGTATCCGAAAGCAGTCTTGCAAAACGATTCTTACCACCATGAAATAATCTGCAATCATGTTCAAATAATTTCTTGAGATGTAAATGACAACTTGAGTATTTTTCCATGTATAATTAATGAAATTTTAGACTGAAATATTGGACATTCATACATTTTTATTTATTTGAGGCATAATTCGTTATTTTAACATACGTAGTAAAATGATAGAGAAAAAATGACTTTTTAACAAATTCCCTGCCATTAATAGGCACAATTCCAGGATCAGTGACCATGGCTCGAAAATGTGCCGCAAAAGCGAAAACCAGTAATGTGTTGAATGTTACTGCATGCAATACACCCCATAAGCTGCAATGACCAAGAACAACTTTTTGACGTATATGTTTGCTTGGCCTATGAAAACAAACACTCGGAAAATTAGCAGACTTTAGAATTATGATATCGCTCACAAGTATTTGTCATCTTAACTGTACTTGAAAAAATATACAAATGTTAAATAGCTCACTTCTTTATTCATAAATACAGTCAGAGTATCGAAGACGATATCCTAAATCGTAAGAAGTTGATGTGAACAAGACATATAACATTTAAGATTTTGTAATAACGAACATAAACTAGCAATTTATAAAAATTAGATAAAAAGTGCCTATGCATGAAAGTCGGTCTGACAAGCCAAAAGATGACTACATAGTCAGCATAAACCATCGCCATGTAAGTAAGCAAAGCACAGAATATACCACATAGATCACAGTGGAATATCATTCCTCGATATCAATCATTTCATTGATCCTTTGATAAGTCCAAGCCTAAAAATAAATAAAATCAAATAAAGTGGATTTGACGGTAGCAAAAACACTGCAAACTCTTTCATCAGTAGACGAGAGAGGGTTCTGTTGTATTTGGACAATAAAGGAGTTTACATAGCAAAAACTGCAGGAAGAGCTTCAAAACATAGCAGTAAGTATCTTATTTCTTTATTTGATGTGTTATAGCTAAAATATAATGATTTGTGATGTGGTAGTACAGTATTATTCCCTAACATTAGACGAACTGCTAACAAGAGATTGCTTAGGCAAAAACACATCTCTTTTATAATAAAAAACGTGTCACGATAGAACTGAAGCAATTAAAAGCTTAATCCGATGTTAATGAAAGAAGAGTTTAGTCAGTCAGATCAAGTCAGTGACTAATTGTCACAATAATAAATACTTTGTAATCTTTCATTAGTAACATTGAGACAAAAAGTTGCATACTACGTAGTCTCACTGAACCGTGTTCTCAGTCACATTTGAGTAAATATGGTAGATTGTAAGCAAGCTATGAAGTGGTAGTCATTATGGTAGGTTGAGATTTGGGCGTGGCAAATGCATTAGAATTCTCATTTTCGTGCTATTGAGATATGACTAACGGATTGTGGTGGTGTGAAGGAACGCAAGAGAGAACTGAAGTGAACTAAAAAAAGGATAGAGTTGAACAGCTAATTGCCAAGAATTTCTTGATTTCATCAGCAGATTTCTCGAGTAGCCTTCAACAATTGTAAAAGTTGAGGAGTTACTTGAAGTTCTTTTGCGCCAGCCCTGAAGGATGCTCTGAGGTGAACTGATACACCGGAATACGACAGTGAATATGAGAAATTCTTCTTTTCATTTAGTCATTTTTTAAATTATTCCCGAAGTGGCGAAACGAGATAACTCAAATTAGTACTTCTACTAAACAAAAACTTTTGAGATAAAAAAGATTCAGAATATATAACATTCCTCCAATTCTATAATTTATCAAACTGTAGTCTAACTTTTATTTTCATATTTAATAAATTTTAAAATTTTTTGACTTTCTGCGCAGTTGTCTATCATAAATTGTGTAACATTTTTGGCATAAATGTCTGCAGTTTATCTTAACACAACATTGTTTTGTGCGAATAAATTTATTTATCATTTAATAATTAATGCTTTGATTAAACATACAAAAGTTTACTTTGTACTGAAGAATTGATCAGTAAAGTGCATATTTAGATCACAACTAAAAATCAATATTTGATTTAAAAATTGGCAAAAACGGCAAATAGTACAATATACACACAAAAGTGAGTATTGCAGCTTACGTGTAAAATTTTTTCGCTATATATTTACTGCAGTACGTTGTGTCACGTGTGGTATGCATTGGAAGAAAACGTTACCTTGTAGAGATTTCAATTTCATTTATATATTCCATAATAGCCCTATTTAGCAGTTACATTTCTATCTATTTTGAACAATGCATTTACTAGCAATACCTTTATTGCATTTCAAAAAATAGTAATAATCAAAGTTATAATTTCTACCATTTTGTTATAAAAATTAGTTTAAAAATGTAAATTGTTAGGTTCAGTTAAAAATTTTTTACAAAATTGAAGAATATATTCAAAGCAGAGTGACAAATTTGAAACAAAAACATTACAGAATTATTAACGAAAGTTCAGTAATTGTAAGTAGTGAAGAAGTATAGCATAAAATGAAGAAAATTTATTAATATTTGTGATAAGAATGTATTACTAATTGTAACGTTTACTTAACTTAAGTAATAATTTGATTTCGGCCAAAATTTGAAAATAAAATTTTTTTCAATAACTTTTTGCTTAATCAACCAAAAAACTGATTGCACTTCCGAATCAAAGATTACTTTAGCAAATTGATAATAATCTTTTAGAAATGAAATAGGCACTTTTTACAGGCTCTTATCAACGCCAAAACCAAACAAGGTGAAAAAGTCCGATGAAGATTTTTCAGCTCAAAGCTTCACTCTCTTTTTGTATTAAATTTTCAAATGAATTTTCTAAACGTTTTTTAGCTAATCTAATTAATTCATTATGCATTCTTGAATTATTTTTTTATGCACTTTTCAATCCAATTTACTGCGCAATTTTTTAAAAATTTCCTTTCTTAAATATGCAGATGTATTATTTATTAACTTATTAATTTGAAAACTTTACAAGTAAACGTATTTTTCGAATTATTTTCAGTAATACTTTTAAATTTGCTTTCCTTTTTCATAAATTATTTCGTTATTTTTGTTTGTTTCACTTTAATTTGAAATAATTTCAATTTTGTGTTGTTTATTTGCTCAGTCTTATCAGTCTAAAATCGTTTGCCACGTATAATAAGTACTGTTTGCGCTTTTTTCACTCATCATTTTTTCTTTTTCAATCTTTGACTTCATAATTCCATTTCAAATTAACACTAATGTCTTCTTTACTAATCATCGCTCTAATTTTCTGCATAATTATTATTTCTATTTTTTTAATGCATATTTTTTATGCAATTTAACAAATTCAAATTTTTGTATTTCATTAATTTTTTTAGCTGATAAAATGTACGCATACTTTTACAAGTGTCTAAGATTTACGTTAAGCTATGCTATTTGTTGTTATACTTTAGAGTGTCTCATTTTAAAAATTTGAAACATTTTTTAAAATTTTACATTTTTGGATTTTTTTTAGACTTTATCCATAGAAATGCAATTTATATGACTTACTTTCATTGAACTAAATTTTCAGTTTAAATCGTTATACTTGAATTTCAGTGCTTTTTCATAAATATCTTTTTTTAATGACATGACATTAAGTACAAAATTGATTCCTTCGATTATTATGCAAATAATTATTAACTAATTTGTCTAAAACTATAATCTATAAAATGGAAAATTAATTCACAGCAAATAATTACACACAACTCTGACAAATGTGTAATTTCATTGAAATTAATAGAGAAATAAATTGTTCTCTTCTCATTAAAGTCTTTTTACTATATTAAAGAAAGACTTGATGAATTAAAATTTTATTAGCGCCTGATGAACTTTAAAAGAAATTTGAACAGAATTGCAAATGATTAAATAAAATGATAAAAATTTAAAAAGTTTGACCACATAACTAATATTGCTTGCAGTGAATTTGATTAATTAAAATATGTAAATAAGTTAAGTACACTTTCATTTTTACCACTATTATTTTATTAATTCTTTTTTTTAATGAATTGATAAAAATTGAAATTGTTTACTGTAAATCTTGTGAATATCAAAATAAAAAAATTTTATTAACAAATAGTACTGTGATAATTCATTTTTTAACTAAGCAGTCAATGCTTTTGAAAATGAAAAAATATCATTCAAGAATCATTTGTGAAGCTCTGCTGAAAGGCAAATTTATTTCTGCTTCCAAAGCTCAACAATGATATTTGCTTTTTTCGTTATCAAAAGCAGTGTTGGTATAATTTCTTGCATTTTCATCTTCTATTCATTTCAAACTGAAAAATTTAAACGTTTCTTCTTATAATTCTTTCTAGAGATGTCCTTAAAGAGATAGAATTATCGATAATATTTTATAAATTTAGAATAGCTATAATATGATGATAATGCTTTTATTAATTCTAAGAAAACTGTAATAAACTATTACAATCAAAATTTTATGAATACTTCTCTATGACGTAATGATTAATTCTTGATTACTTTTAAATACACAATGGTTAAAACTTATTTCTTATTCATAATTCTCAAATTCATGTTAGATTTTTTTTGCTACAAAAAAAATTTGCATATTTTTATTTTCTACTTTTTTGTAGCAACATTTCTATTTCTATGCTCGAAGAAATTTTTGAAACTTCATTGATATATTCTTAGAAACAAAAATAACTACAAAAATAATGCTAAAACAGAAATTATGTTATTATAGCATTAAATTATGCAAAATTATAATGCAATAAGAGTAATGAAAGATTAACTTTGGTCATTAGCGTGGAAAGTATATCATCAAGTATTTGCTTATTGTGTACTACTGTCATTTCACTTTGCTTTACAAACATCTTCATTATTAATAAAAATTTAAAATATTTTGAAATAAAAAGTATTTTTGATGCATTTTGTGCTCTCCCTATTCTTTCTTCTATATCACCGCAATTCATCTTATTTCTGAGCAAAAAAAGGAAAAAAACGAAACGAACAGTTTTAAAATTAACATTTTTGATATACTTTAGTCATTATGAACTTTTATACTCAGTACATCAATTATTTTCTATTTTCTCCTTCAATATATCACATCAATTCTTATTATTTAATTTTTAATTATACTGCAATTACCATTTAATTACAAATTATTGCTTCTTTTGTATAAATTCTTTTACTGATTTATAGAATAAGTCCAAATTTTGCAATGATTATATTTTTGCACCTAAATTTATATCATCTTTTTGTTAATAATGCTGTTGCATGCCTAAAAAATTGATGAAAAATAAAAAATTTTTCATTTTCATCTTTAAATTTGTCCACTAATAATTATACATTTGAAAATTATTTTTATTACAATTAAATATTATAAGATAGTGTTTTATTTATTTTTAGAGCAAAAATTTTTATTTTTACTAAATTTAATAATTAGTAAATGCATAAATCAGCCTTTTTTTCTTTCTTCTGTGCTAGCAATTTTAAAAATGCAAGTATGTATTTCAGAAAATTTTTCATAAAAAAATTGGCATAGGCAGATAGCATCCAAAGCTTTTCACTTATCATCAGAATACTGTTTGCTATCAAAAAGTATTAGTGCAAAGGCTGTGCATACGGCAATTTTTAGTAAAATTGTATTAACTACCTACGTCAATTACGTCATTTTTTTCTTTTTGCCTGTACTGCATACTGTTAATTCTATAGAATATAATTATTAAATTATTAATAATTATTAATTGATACATTGATGTTATGCTTTTTCAACTTTATAATAATATAATTTATTAATAATA